ATCTTTAAAATGGTCAAACTCTTGTTTCAGTTATTTTAGTGTTGGCCACAAGCACTGCGCTTAAAAATGCATATTCAAAAACCTGCCTATCCATACATACATGCATACACAAATACATAAGAACATACATATGTACATTAGGTAGTCCAAAAATGCATGTGGAAAAAGTCGGAATTTCAATGCTCTCACCCCCTAGGATTGTTCTATACCGAAAAAATATACCCTTATTTTTTTTATTTTGATCACAAAAAATATTTAGAGGTCGCTCAAGGCGCCCAAAGTTTTTCATGTTTTTATATGGGGAAAAAATAACTTTTCGTATTAATGGATTCCCAATAATAATACCCAATTTTTTATTTAACCATTTTTTCATCGCAACTATAATTTAGAGGCCCGCCAAAAACCCCGAAATATGCAATGGGTCGACCAATAAAAAATCGTTAGTATTAAAAAATTTTTAAATAAACAATTGGGTATTATTATTGAAAGTCTCCTGAAGAGAACCAGAGTTTTCCGATCGAAAAATATTGATTTTCAAGAATTCTATACCATTTCTACGAACAATTTTGTTATTCCCATATAAAAATACATGGAAAACTTTGAGCGCTTTGAGCGACCTCTAAATGTTTTTTGATTTCAAAATAAAACAGGAGTATACTTTTTCGATGTAGAACAATCCTTGGGGGTGAGAGCTTTACAATTCCGACTTTACTGTTTTTGGACCACCCTAATGTACATACACCCCGTGTCAAAAAAGCATCAGTGTAGTAAATAGGGGGGTTGAAATTCGATCTTCTCCGAATTTCGAACATTGCCCAACCATTCGATTCGAGATTTGGTGGTGAAAATTCGATTTAATTCGCAGTTTTTCGAATTTTCAAAAAAAAAAAAATACTGAAAGTTTAAAAGTTGATAACACAAATATAAAAAGAGATTCAGTTTAACTTATATTAATGTGATTAACTATCCATATCGCTTTTCTTAGTTTCAAAACCAAAAATAAATACAAATAAGTATTTTTTTTTTACAAATAGTAAATATCTCACAAAAATATCAAAATAAATCCAAAAATTTAGCAAATGTAGCATATTGAAATTAATTTTTTGGAACATATAGCGCGATTTTTTTATTTTTTTTTTTGCTTTACAAAAACAAAAGAAATTTCTACATACTTCACGTTACATACTTATGCAACCATACGTATGTTTATACATACTTGAATAGTTTCGAGCAACCACATTTTCAATTGAATTTTCAAAGAATTTTAAGTTCATAATGTCTAAACGTGTACATACAAAATGAATTATCTAAAAGCATTCAGTGTTCTAATATATAAGTGTGCGTTATTCAATATGTATGTTTTACAGTTGTGTCGTCGGGATATATTGACTGAAGCAGAAATAGAAGCATTCTTCGTGCATGAAGAGGATGATCAGTTCGAAGATATCGAAGGTGAGTATCTACCTGAAGGATCTGCTTCAGATGAAGAGGAGGGCGACTTTCCGGCAGAAATAAATGCTGAGGAAGATATATCTGATTTGAACGATATTGAAGTCGAAATCGAAGAGCCTATGGATGCAGAAGTTGAGCAACAACTTTTGAGTTCAGCTATGCAAAATTTAAAGTCTGATCAAATTTATACTTCAAAAGATAATACGATTTGGTCTAAGAATCCATTGTCTAATGCTGGTCGAGCTCAAACGCGAAATATCATGCGTATGAGCGGTGCGTATTATTTGGCGTTACACGAACCAAAGAGGTGCAAAATTTACAGCGGAATAAAACAGTGCAAACCCAGATCGCCGACAGCGTGAGTGGATTCCGATGGATTCGATTGAGTTCGATGCGTTTTTGGGCGTAATATTACATTGCTGTGTTCACAATTCCAGCCATGATCGAGTGGTAGATTTGTGGACTCGTCATGCACACCCTCTTTACCGTGCATCAATGCCAATGGTTTAATTTTTAACCATCTTGAAGTGTATTCGTTTGGATGATTCCAGAACTCGAGAAACTAGAAGACAACTCGACAAGGCAGCTCCGATCTCGGAAATATTTTCTTTCATCAAATTAAATTTGAGAAACAACTATCGCCCTAATGAATCTATTACAATTGATGAACAACTCTTCGGCTTTCGAGGGCGCTGTCCTTTTAGCCAATACATCCCGTCTAAGCCAAATATGGTCTAAAGATATTTTGGGCTGGCGACTCGAAAACTCACTCTCCGTTGCAAGGACAGCTCTATCTGGGATAACTTCCAGGCGAAGCAAGAAACAAAGATCTTGGAGAGAAAGTTGTGTTACGATTGGTGAGACATTGGGAAAACTCAGGTCGAAACATTACCATGGACAACTATTTCACTATTCTAGCACTAGCAGAAGAGCTAGTCAAGAAAAAGCTAAGCATGATTGGCACAATTCGCCGGAATAAAAGGTGTATTCCTGCAGAGCTGATGTGCAAACCAGGCGACCAAGTTGGAAAAAGCACGTTTGCATTTCGAGAGAATACAACATTAGTGTCATATGTGACAAAGAGGAACAAATCGGTTGTTCTGCTTTCAACAATGCACAAAACCGATGAGATAGACACAAACTCAGAAGCTCGCAAACCGTTAATTATTTTGGACTATAACAATACAAAAGGAGGTTTGTAAAAGTATTCGGGAATTCTAACCTGACACAATGGCCCAAATGTGCTCAAAATATTCCTGCAAGCGTGCAACGAGACGCTGGCCCCTGGCGATGTTTTATAATTTAGTTGACATCGCTGCCCTCGCCACCTATATCATATATGCCGAAAATCAGTCAAATATTATGCCATCTAATTTGACGCGCCGTCGATTTCTGGTTCAATTATCTTTGGATCTATGCCACAACAACATCCTGCGACGCTCCCAAAATCAGCACGTCATTGGCAAGCCGAATCTTAGGTCAGCAATTTGCGACATGCTTGGCTATGAACTGCCTCTCACCGCACAATATGAGCCTGAGATATCCCAGTTGAATGAAAGTAGTCGCACTAAAATTCAAGGCAAATGTCACATATGCGCTTCGCAGGATAAACGTCAGCGCAATTCTCGTAAGCGGTGCACAAAGTGCGAAAAACCAGTTTGTAACCAACATACTAAGAGGGGAGAAACTTGCCAGGCTTGCTAAGCCATTTCTTCGTTGGTTTTGTTAATTTTCCCAAAATATTTTTGCTATGTAAATCAAACAACTTACCAAATTTTATTTAAAAATAACCTTTGATAAAAAAATCAAACATTATCTTTCATTTCCTAGTCGTGTTGCCATAGATTAAGTGTTCATGCTCGTAGTCACCCGGGTGACTAATACTACAACAAACCATAAACCTAGCTGACCCAAGTCGCCAAAAATCAATAGAAATTAGCTAGGAATTAGGTGTCTTTTAGGTCTTAATTAGGGCCTCCAAAATTAATGTAGGTGTTCCTTTGGCTTCCGAGAAATTCGCAAAAATGTGTGCTGACCAACTCATTTTTGCGAATATCTGGGAAACCAATGGAGCTACTAAATTAGTTTTAGTGGCGTTGAAGAACACCTAAAAGACACCTAATTCCTGCATATATGTATTTTACGTAAACCTAGCTGACCCACAAATTTTTGCGAATTTCTCGGAAACCAAAGGAACACCTAAATTAATTTTGGAGGCCCTAATTAACACCTAAAAGACACCTAATTTCTAGCTAATTTTTATCGATTTTTGGCGACTTGGGTCAGCTAGGTTTATGGACGTCAAACGGAGGGTTAAGTAAACAAAGAACAAAATAGATAATAGGGATGAAGAGTTCTATCGAGCCACATTCTTGGTTTGTCCATAGCTAAACGGCTGGAATATTTGACTAATGCCAAAAATTTCACTTCACATTTGACATCAGTGACGAAAAACGGAATGTCAATCACCTGACACCAAAATTTTGGCGACAGTCTTTGACATGCACTGCGATATCTAAATTTGATCAGTTTTTATGATGTATTTGACACCAAGTGAACGGCAGTTTTTGATGTCAGTAATTTTGACAATGAAAACCAAGCGTTAGATAAAGTTTTAAGATCATAAAGCATCTGAAATCTTATTTATTTTTTATGAATTTACTTGTATAGCTGGGATGTGTAATTATTTAAATCAATAAATTATTCACTGTATGGAAGCCAATGCGACAAAAAGAATTCTAAACAAGTAAGAAAGTCTAAGTTCGGGCGGAGCCGAACATTAAATACCCGGCGCAAGTATTAAATATATGTTTTTTCACCTTTCCGAAACCTACCGCTAGATGGTAAGGGGTGTATCAATTTTGAGTAAATTAGCGTCCTTAAATTTCAATATATTGAAGTTTCAAGCATTTCTGAAATTTACCGTTATATGAAAAGCGGCCGTAATTTTACACCGATTTCAATAATTTTCAACGCTTTGCTTATATGTGGCAAGCACAATAACCATACCGTGTTTGGTACAAATTGGTAGAACGGTTACCGATATACATATATGTGATCATAAGTGGGCGGTGCCACGCCCATTTTCCAAAATTTTACCATTAACGTATTTCTTGGTAAAGAAATGTTGCAAGCATCAATTTTGAATAAATTAGTTTCAATATTTACTGATTTATCGAAGATTTTGTATTTCTCTAAATTACCGTTATATAGGATGTGGGCGTCGTTATCGTCCGATTTTAAAAATTTTCTGCGATTTTTTATGCTGTACCAAGGCCAACAACTGTGCCAAGTTTCGAAGAAATTGGTACAGCGGTTGCCGAGATATACACATGTAACCATAAGTGGGCGTGGCTACGCCCATTTTCCAAAAATGTATAACACTCTTAGTTTTCGTCTAAAATTGTTGTAAATAATTATTTTGAGTGAATAATCTTCAGTAGTTACTAAAATATCGCAGTTTTCGTATTTCCGAAAATTACCGTTATATGGGAAGTGGGCGTGGTTATTGTCCGATTTTTTAAATTTTCGGCCATTTAGTATGCTGTATCAAGGCCACCAACGGTGCCAAGTTTGGAAGAAATTGGTGCAGCGGTTACCAAGATATACACATGTAACCATAAGTGGGCGTGGCTACGCCCATTTTCCAAAAATTTATAATATTCTTATTTTTCGTCTAAAAGTTATTGTAAATATCAATTTTGAGTGAATTATCTTCAGTTGTTACTAAAATATCGCAGTTTTCGTATTTCTGGAAATTACCGTTATATGGGAAGTGGGCGTAGTTACAGTCCGATTTCGCCCATTTTCAATACCAACCTACCTTGGATTAAGGGAAACCTACATACCAAATTTCGTTGAGATATCTCAATTTTTGCTCGAGTTATCGTGTACACGGACGGACGGACAGACGGACAGACGGACGGATAGACAGACATGGCTTAATCGATTTCTTTTTTCATCCTGATCATTTATGTATACATTTGTCTATATCTATCTCGATTCGTTTTGGCTGTTACAAACAACCGTTATGGGAACAAAATTAATATACCCTTGTGCACAAGTGCGCTCGGGTATAAAAATAAACGGTAATTCGTAGCCACTTCAAATTTGCACATTATCAGACTAAAATTGAAGGGGCTAAAAAACTGTGTACTCAAAAAAATTCTAACACTTCCGAGAAAAAAAGTTTGAAATTTATGTGAAAATTTGTTGCAGTTTTTTTGTAGCTTTCTACAAATTATTAAGCTTGGGTTTCTATCGGGTTTGTCTGAGAAAGAACTATATTTTAATTGAAAATTCTTAAAAATTAATAAATAAACATAAGTGACACACAATATCACTTTGAAATGGCGTGCTATAGATATGACCCATACTGTATATTTTAAAATAAATTTTCAGTAAATATATATTGATATATTTACACTAGCAAATGCCCGCTTGCTTCGCGGCGCCTAATAAGATCTTTTGCGTTGGCCAAATCAAAAATAGCGTTTAAAAGCAAAAACAGTCTGTAAAGTAAACATTTTTAGTTTAAATTGAAACGACTAAAAAACGGAATCCTCCTCACACATATGCCAAGAATAGTAGCGCTGTGATTCCATATGGAATACTAATCCCTTTCGATGTAATACGTTTTACCTATGGTCTTATTTCCACCTGTGAGATCTCTGCCAAGCGTGCGCAATATTCTTCTATGATCCTGCAACTTCAGCATTGGTCCGGTGTACCATGTAAGCCAATAAAAGTCATATGGAAACTCAAGAGCACAGATGAGCGTTTTCAATTATAGGAGGGCCAAGAATCCTCGCTGCCCCACAGGATGAAAAGTTTTCGCTTGAGTCGTGTGATCTCATGAATATCGTTCAAATGAAACCATTGATATACCTATCGTGTTCCTTCTTGGTCAGATGTGGTCGAATCTTTCCTTGTCAATTCGGCACTTTTACAACTCGTCTTAATATTTATGATGTGGTTTCTTTGAGTCTTACTGCTGTAATAACGCCTCGAGCAACTTCGTCAATCGGAGGTAGATGGAAGATCACGCTTACATAGTGTTACGGTCTTTATATGCATACTTAAAAGCATCCTTAATTTAGCCATCTGAAAAAAAATTCGTCTAAGATAAACAAACCCCGTGGAGGTTTCTATATATTTCAACCACCAAAACAGTTGCTTTTAACTACTCGCGTTGTAATTTTGTGGAATTAAATAATTTGTTTGAGCTGGATTGGTCTCGGCAGTTTGAAAATGTGGATGTAGCTGGCTGTTACGATATTTTTAAATCTATTATAGTTGACACTTGCGTGAGTCACATCCCGATGCACAGTGGTCAATAAATGGGATTTAATGTTCATAATTCACTGGAGCCTTCATTTCTCAACCGATTTCATTAATTATTTTTTTAAATGAAAGCTAATAAAATTTGCAAGAGACTAGTTGAGCCCAATTTTCGAATTTTTATTTGTTTGTATTAAATTTTTTAGTGCAAAGTGCAGAAATGGCGCCAATTTTGAAGAAGACCGATTCTCCTGTTCCAGCTAATAAAAGTTTCATAATAAAAACTAGTTAAAAACAATTGTAGGGTTCTCCTAAAACAACAAAATAAATTAAAAAGTAATATTTTGAAATGTTATAAAAAAAATGTTACCAAAAGTATTTTTTTTGTTTTTAGTTTTTATAAAAATTTTGGGTATGCAGTTTTGTAGATTACTAAATTTTAGTATTATAAAGTGCAAGTTGTAAGTCGCTAAGAGATCGCGTTGATTTTTTTTAATTTTTTCGCTAACATTAATGTCTTACAGAGGTAAATTCAACAAACTCAACAAGTCTTTTCATCGAAATTATATTCGTAATATAGAAAGCAATATTAAATGTAACCCCAAGGCCTTTTGGAGTTACATAAAAGCTAAGAAAAACTGCTCAAATATACCTGCGTCGGTTCATCTTAAAGGGGTTTCAGCTAATTCCATCTCTGATGCTGCTAATCTGTTTGCTAAATTTTTTTCTTCGAATTTTATTTCAGACGATGCTGATCATGGCTTTGTCCCTGAAGCTCTCCTGTTTAATTCAGATACTTCCATCAACTTCGGGAAATTAGATTTGACTGCCGAAGATGTCATTGATGGCATTAATAAGCTTAAGCCATCCACTAATACAGATGTCGATGGCTTATCGGTCGTTCTAATTAAAAGTTGTCCTGCCTTGATTAAGCCTCTATGGCACATTTTCAACATGTCACTTGCTGCTGGAGTCTTCCTTGATGACTGGAAATTGACTTTTATTACGCCTATCCTTAAAAGCGGGAATAAAAATGATATTGAGAGTTATAGGCCAATTTCCAAGCTAACCACAGTTTCTAAACTGTTTGAGTGCATAGTTAAGGACAAAATATACTTTGCCGTCAAACATATGATATGTCCTAATCAACATGGCTTTGTTCCGGGCAGATCTACCTTAACTAATTTAGCTGCATTTACGGAGGATTGTCTGGATACCTTTCAAAGGGGTTTTCAAATGGATGCAATCTACGCAGATTTTTCTAAGGCTTTTGATAGGGTATCTCACCAATGTTGATAGCTAAATTTGAGCGTCTAGGCTTTCACTCCCAATTTCTAAAGTGGATAACTTCCTATTTAGATAACAGACAATGTGTCGTTCGACTCGATAATATATCGTCTTACTCTTTTGTTGCTTCCTCTGGT